CCTGATAACCCTAGACCTCACCGCCCACAACTTCTACCATTGGTGCCACCTCTTCCACATCCACCTCGGCCGTTGTGGTCTCCGCCATCACATCAATCCAGCCGCTCCCCCGTGGCTGACCGACCCTCGCTGGATCAAGGATGATCTCACCGTCATCCAATGGATATATACCCGCATCTCCACCGAGCTCTTCAACCTCGTCTCCAACGACGACGCCACCACCGCTGAACTTTGGGCCTTTCTTCAGCAGCTCTTCCAGGACAACTCTGATGCACATGTTAACGCGCTACACATCGAGCTCCGCACCAGCATACAAGGTGACTCTCCGGTCACTGTCTATTGCCAATGCATCAAGGCGTTCGACGACAAACTCCATGAGCTCGGTGATCACGTTGAGGATCGGACCCTCATCAACGTTTTCCTCGTCGGCCTTGGGGAATAGTTCGAGAAGCAGGTCGTCTTCATCCCTATGTTGCGATCTTACCCCTCCTTCGCGGAGGTCCGCTCCATCTTGCAGCTTGAGGCACAGAACCAGGCGTGCAAGGCGACGCGTCCTTCCCAGGTGTTTCACGTTGCCCGACCCTCTACACCATCTGCGCTGCCTCCATCGCCTGCTCCACCGACGCCTACATCCTCGGCTCCTCCAGGATGGCGCCCGAGTCCTAACTATCGGGGCAAAAATCCCGTCTACCGGTCGCCACAGCCTCGACCTGCTGCTCCACCACCACCGGCTGCACCATCGGCGCCTCCTCCATCAGCCGCTTAGCAAGACCCCTGGACTAGTCTAGTTCAGGCGTGGCGCATGCCCTGGTCGGTGCCATCTCCATACGGCGCTCCTCCCGCGTACACCGGGAACTGGAGCCCGGGCCTTCGCCCTGCTACCGGTTCTCCTGGCCTCCTTGGTCCACGGCCACCGCCTCATGTCTACAATGTCACGACCTCTTCATCGCCAGTCATCCAAGGATCACCTCATGGCTACCTGCCGGTCCCCTATGCGCCCTACGCCTACGACCATGCTTCACCCATGCCGTTCGCGCACGCGCCTGCGCCCGGACCGCTAGCTCCTCCACCACAGCCAGCCTGGGATCAAGCCGCCTTCATCGCCGCCATGAACAACTTTACACTCAATAACCAAGGTACGGATTGGATTTTAGATTCCGGTGCATCCTCGCATATGTCTTCAAATATGGATATTCTGTCAGCTTGTTTTCCTTCCGCTTATTCTTCCATCGCCATAGGCAATGGCTCCCTTGTTCCCGTCTCTTGCACCGGTCACTCTTCTATACAAACAAATCATGCCAATTTTCAACTCCGCAATATTCTTGTTGTTCCTTCTTTAATCAAAAATCTTATTTCTGTTCGTCAATTTACCATTGATAATCTTGTCATTCTAGCATTTGATCCTTTTGGTCTATCTGTGAAGGATCTCAGAACGGGGACACTTCTCGCTCGCTACAATAGCACAGACGATCTCTATCCACTTCATGGCGCGCCTGCATCCTCTCCTCGCGCCATGCTGGCTTCAGTTGATCTATGGCTTCGTCGGCTCGGTCACCCCAATAATTCAACGATGTCATCTCTACTTCAAGAATTTTCTATTCCTAGCACTAGCGTGTCACATGATTCTTCTCTTTGTGCGGCATGCCAATGCGGCAAACATGTTCGCCTTCCTTTTGGAACATCATCTACTGTTAGCACTTTTCCTTTTGAGCTTTTACATTGTGATCTATGGACCTCTCCTATTCCTAGTGTCTCTGGCATTGGTTTCTGGATATAAATATTATCTTGTGATTTTATATGATTATTCTCACTACATATGGACGTTCCCTCTACTTGCTAAATCTGATGTACATCCACTTTTTCTCACCTTTTGCACTTACGTCCAAACACACTTTGACCTACCTATTCGCTTTATCCAATGTGACAACGGGCGTGAGTTCGACAACGTCACCAACTGCACATTTTTCCTCTCCCATGGCATTCTTCTACGCTTTTCTTGTCCCTATACCTCCTCTCAAAACGGGAAGGCTGAGCGCTCTCTTTGTTCCATCAACGATATCCTATGCACTCTACTTATCCAAGCATCTCTTCCTCCCCCTTTTTGGGTCGAAACTCTACGCACTGCTACCCTTCTTCTTAACATCCGCCCACCAAAACGTGTCCTCGCTATACACCCTTTCAATCACTTCTTCTATCTGATCCCGACTACCTTTCTCTTCGGGTATTTGGTTGCCTATGCTTTCCTAACATCACATCCATCACAGCTCACAAACTAGCCCCATGATCTCCACCCTGCATTTATCTTGGCCTCTCCGATGATCACAAAGGGCATCGCTGTTTCGATCCCTCTTCCGGTTGTGTGTTTATCTCGAGACATGTCACCTTTGATGAGCATGTTTTTCCCTTTGCCGTTGCCACCACTGCCTCTTCCTCTCCCTCACCATCTTCCACTACCCATCCATCTTCTCTTCTTCGCATCATCTCGGCCGCGGAACCTTCCCCACCCGCCACCGCATCAACCAGCACCACTACCACCCCGTCCACGGTCGATACTAGACAAGCCAGTCCGCCTTCCACTCCTGTTACAGACAACCTTTCCCCTTCCTCATCCCTTGACCCATCTTCTACACCTCCTGCTTCATCTCCTTCTCCTATAGCCCCTAGTCCTTCCTCACCCATTCCTCCACATGCTGTACCTATTCAAGCTCCCACCAACGATCATGTCATGTGTACTCGTGACAAACGTGGTTTTCATCTCCCTACTCGCCGTCTTAATCTCACGGCCACACCGACCGTCTCCCCTATTCACACTTCATACAAACGGGCTCTTCTTGATCCTCTCTGGTTTTCTGCTATGCGAGACGAATTTGATGCTCCACAGCAAAACAACATCTGGACTTTAGTTCCAAAACCACCTGGTGTTAATATTGTCTCTGGCAAGTGGGTTTTTCGCCACAAGTTTCATGCCGATGGTTCTCTTGTTCGCTACAAAGCTCGCTGGGTTTGTCGTGGTTTTTCCCGGCAGCACAACATTGATTTTGAAGAGACTTTTTCTCCTGTGGTAAAACCTAGCACCATTCGTGTTGTTCTTAGTCTTGTGGTTTTCTCTTCATGGCCTATTCACCAACTAGATGTTAAAAATGCTTTTCTCCATGGAACACTAAATGAAACTGTGTATTGCCAGCAACCCTCTGGCTTCGAAAATCCCTCCTCACCAACTCTTGTCTGTCGCCTTAACAAATCATTGTATGGTCTCAAATAGGCTCCTCGAGCCTAGTTCCAACGCTTTGCTACCTTTGTCCAAACCATCGGCTTTGTTCCTTCTAAATCCGATTCCTCTCTCTTCGTTTTTCATTCCTCTAATCAAACCACCTATCTTTTATTATATGTAGATGATATTATTCTCACCGCTTCTTCTGATAATTTCCTCCACCAAATAATCTCTTCTCTCAATCATGAATTTTCTATGACTGATCTTGGTCCTCTACATCATTTTCTTGCCATTAATGTTTCTCGTACTTCCTCTACTCTTTTTCTATCCCAATGTCAATATGTTATAGATTTGCTCTCACGTGCTGGCATGTCTGATTGTCAACCCTGTCACACACCTGCTGACACTGGTGCCAAATTGTCGGCTAATGGTGAACCCGTTTCCGATCCTACTTTTTACCACAGCATCACCGGCGCTCTTCAATATGCTACCCTCACTTGTCCTGATATTTCCTACTCTGTTCAACAAGCCTGTCTTTATATGCATGACCCTCGTGCTCCTCATCTTGCTCATGTTAGACGCATTCTTCGTTATCTCAAAGGTACTCTTGATCACGGCCTCCTTATTAATTCTTCCTCTCCAACAAGCCTGACAGTATATTCTGATGCAGACTGGACGGGTTGTCTCAACACTCGTCAATCCACATCCGGCTATTGTGTTTATTTGGGTGATAATGTTGTTTCTTGGTTTTTGAAAAGGCAGGATACAATTTCCAGGTCCTTCGCTGAATCTGAGTATCGGGCTATTGCTCATGCTGTCGCCGAGGCTGTCTGGCTCCGGCAACTCCTCGTGGAGCTTCATCGGCCACTCGAGCGTGCTACCATTGTTTACTGTGACAATATTTCAGCAGTCTATATGGCATCTAATCCAGTCCAGCATCGTCGCACGAAGCACATTAAGATAGATATTCACTTTGTTCGTGAGAAAGTGGCTCTTGACGAGGTTCGTGTTCTCCATGTTCCAACAAGTGCGCAATTTGCTGACAACTTCACCAAAGGGCTTCTCAATGCATCCTTCACAGACATACGCTCCAGTTTCAACATCGTCACGCCCGACGTTGACACTGCGGGGGGATATTAGAGTATATTCGGCCGGTTTAGTTTTTGGTAGTTTTGAATTGTAATCTATCTCTTCTATACTTGGACTCCAAGACTTTGTACTTATATAAACAGCCCATTGAGACATAGATCAATACACAATTATTATCAATCTTCACTTGCGCTGCCCGTATTGCCGTATTGAGTGTGTTCGTGGCATGTGCGCATCGGATCACAGACAGCATACAGCCTGGAGATGTCTATGGCTGTTCGTTCAAAATTGCCGGTTGAAACTTGCATCTTCTTCTGCCCAGTAAAGAGAGTAGGGGCCTCCTCTTTGATTAGAAGATTTTCATAAAAAATGAATTTGGATTGAATTCAGTTACAAGGCTGTCAGATGGAAAGCACCCCATGCGCGAGCTCTCAGAAGTTGCTACAATGGCAATTCCCGCAATTGAACTGCTGAAATTTTGTCATGATGCGCAAAGTCACTGAAATTTTAGACGATTTGCGTAGAACACGCAAATGTGTAAGTGTTTGCTAAAGACTTACATACAGTGATACAGGAAGCAATTTCCCGACAAGTCGTTGTCCGACATGGCGCCTAGTAAATATAGTTTAGCACGCCCGTCAACGTTTTGCTGTACATGGCGGTATGAGCCTGGGCCGGCAGCGTGTTTGCAGCACGCGCATCACTGCTGCTGCAGCAACCTCTGGTTGAGCATCTCGGCGCGCAGGTCGGCCGGATCCACTTCTTTGGTGCCGGTCACGGGCCGGTAGTCGCCTGTCTTGGGGTCCGGCTTCCAGAACGCCGTCTTGTCCTCCGTGGTGTCCTCCGTCGCCACCGTGCCCAGCTTCACCGCCTTCTCCTCAACCTTCTTCGCGGACACTCCGATGGCGGTTATCGCGGAGGAATATCCCCTCCTGCACCATACATACATTGTCACGCGTATCAGTTCAACCTCGGGTTGGATCGAAATGATATGATCTGTACGTTTGCAAAGTTTCGGGAGGACCTTTGCGCCACGAGGGTGGCACAGCTGGACGCAACCCGGGCCATCTGATCAGGATCGGACGAACGGAGACGATTCTAGCCTTCACTTCCGTCTCGCCTTGTTTGCTCTCCCTTTGTTTTCTTTTGGTTTTCGGTTTCAGATGGGACAGAGGAACAGAAAATGCCATTGCCAGGTTATTATGGGAAGGAGCCAAACAAGGAGCAATGAGGATGTATGGCTCTTAGAACATGTCGGAGGTGAAAACGGGAGGCAGCCTCTCTGTCCACCACATGTAGGAACACATGTTTCTTGACATCCGTTCATTATGTACGGACAAAATTATGGTTAGCCTTGTGAGCTGTGACTATATCGATCATCTTGGGTACGAGTGATGCATCATGGAGCGTGACAAGGCTCACGGCATCTGTCAATCTTCCATGTGCTGCGTGTTGCTGGGAGTTTGCACAAATCGCAAAACAGCCAAACGTATACCCGGATGACGTTTGCTGCGTGTTGCTGAGAGTTTGCATAAATGTGCTGGGTGACGCGCTGGCAAACGAGCCAGCGCGCACGTCCTCCCCTCCCGATACGCCCTCAGCGAACCGGAGCGTCACCCAGTTTTTTCATTTTGCTCTTTTGTTTTTTGGGCCTCCTACGCGTCCCCGGCTGATCCTTTTAAAAGATCGGCCGGGCCGTGAGCCGTCCCATTGGATATGTACGAGTCGATCAGTTTCTAATTTTTGCAACAATGCTTTTGTTACAAAAATTCTTCTTCTTTAATTTCTGCAACAAGGTCTTTGTTGCAAAGCCTTTTCTTCTCTAATTTTCTGCAACAAAACTCCTGTTGCACAACCTCTTTTTTTTTAATTTTCTGTAACAAGACTCTTGTTGTAAAAATTGCAAAAGCATGTCCAGCCGTATCGCGCACTAGCATAGTCGTCGTTCGTTGTCGCCGTTCCGCAACAACGTCGTTGTTGTCGAAACTTGTCCCAGAGGTGATTTCGCGAACAACAATGCAAGGCCGAGCATGGGGTGGGCGCGGACGTACATCGCGGTGCTGTGGCGTACCGGATGCGTCGATCCGGTCGACGGGGAGGCATTTGGCGGCAAAGAGCAAGCATGGATGTGCTCGGTAACGACAGTCTACATACGGCGGAGCTCGGCTGTTGGGACTGCATCCTCCATGGCTGTAGCCTAACGACCCGAGTTCAATTCCTAGAATTGACAGGTGATGCACAGGGGTTTTTTTCCATCTATTGAGGGTCAAGTTTAGTGTGTGATGAAACCACTCATCAAAAAATATCTTGATACTCATTTTAAAAATTTCGAGGACCATGTTTATCTTGGCACTCATACTAAAAATGGCCGTATGCGTCCCTAGTTGGTGCAGAGGCCGGGGAAGTGAAATTCTCCCCCAATTTTAAAGAATACCAAACAAAGGCCCCGATCAACCCCCACCCCGTGTCCCTCGCGTCGCTCTCGCGGGCGGCGGCAGGGGAACCCTAGCCCCCATCCCGCACCCGCCTCCTACACCATCCCCTACCCTCGCCGCCGCCAGGCGAAGCCCGGTGCGCATCGGCGGGGCCCTTCTTCTCCTCCTGGCGTGCGGCTGTAGCGCGAGATGCGGTGGCGCGGTGGAGTCTTGGCTGTTGCGGCGAGGGCGCGTCATGCGGCACGGCGGCCAGACGGCGACGCGAGCAGGTGGCCAGGCCGTGGTGGCTGCGCGAGGGGTTGGCTTCGGGGCGGCGGCACGGGCATGGATCCATCATGGATCTGGTCATGCGGGCGCGGTATCGGCCTCCCCCGCTCGGCCGGCAGGTCTCGGTGGGGGGACTTCTCCTTGCTGAGATCTGGCAGCGGCGGCCTGGATCATCTAGATCCCGGCAAGGATGGCGGCGGCCCGTGCACGAGAGATGGAGGTCTTCGATCAGATCTGGGTGAAAACCTGCTATTGGCTATTGCCAAGTGAAAGTGCAACTATCCCTAGGTGGTTTTTGTAATTCCTAACAACATATAGCTCATTGAGCTAATGCTATTTCAAGATTAATATCTCAGGAAAGCTCAATGATTGGCATGGCATGGATGAGAAAAGTGGACCCCTCAAAATACTAAGCACAAAAGGACTGGCTCAAGCTCAAAGCTCAAGACTCTACATTTTCTATTTTAGTGATCCAAGATCATATTGAGTCTATAGGAAAAGCCAATACTATTAAGGAGGGATGAGGTGTTGCTTAATGAGGCTCTTGCTCAAAATGCTTAGTGATATGCTCCAAAACCCTGAATTACACTCTCACATCCACATATGACCTAAACCAAAAGTCAAACTCGGCCCCACCGATTCTTTCTATCCGGCGCCACCGAGTTCAAATGTCATAGCCACTGCCACAAACCCTAGGCAAATCGGTCTCACCGATAGGGATCTCGGTCTCACCGAGATGAGATTGTAATATCTCTGTTTCCCTTCATAACGTTTCGGTCCCACCGATATGAGCGATCGGTCCCACCGAGATTGCAATGTAAACTCTCTGTTTCCCTTTTGTAACATTTCTATCTTACCGAAATGAGCGAATCGGTCCCACCAAGTTTACCTGACCAACTCTCTGGTTAGCTTATTATCAAAATCGGTCTCACCGAGTTTGTGTAATTGGTCTCACCGAGATTACGTTATGCCCTAACCCTAACCATATCGGTCCTACCGAGTTGCATGTCGGTCCCACCGAAACTCCTAACGGTCACTAGCTTTGCTGAGTCGGTCCAATCAAGTTTATCAATTCGGTCCCACCGAGATTGGCGAGTTGTGTGTAATAGTTAGATTTTGTGTGGAGGCTATATATACCCCTCCACCACCTCTTCATTTGTAGAGAGAGCCGTCAGAACAAACCTACACTTCCAACTTACTTTTTTTGAGAGAGAACCACCTACACTTGTGTTGAGGCCAAGATATTCCATTCTTACCATATGAATCTTGATCTCTAACCTTCCCCAAGTTGCTTTCCACTCAAATCCTCTTTCCACCAAATCCATATCCTGTGAGAGAGAGTTGAGTGTTGGGGAGACTATCATTTGAAGCACAAGAGCAAGGAGTTCATCATCAACACACCACTTGTTACTTCTTGGAGAGTGGTGTCTCCTAGATTGGCTAGGTGTCACTTGGGAGCCTCCGACAAGATTGTGGAGTTGAACCAATGAGTTTGTAAGGGCAAGGAGATCGCCTACTTCGTGAATATCTACCGCTAGTGAGACAAGTCCTTCGTGGGCGATGGCCATGGTGGGATAGACAAGGTTGCTTCTTCGTGGACCCTTCATGGGGGGAGCCCTCCGTGGACTCGCGCAGCCGTTACCCTTCGTGGGTTGAAGTCTCCATCAACATGGATGTACGATAGCACCACCTATCGAAACCACGACAAAAACATCCGTGTCTCCTATTGCATTTGAATCCTCCAAACCATTCCCTTTACATTCTTGCAAGTTGCATGCTTTACTTTCCGTTGCTCATATCTCTTTGCATGCTTGCTTGAATTGTGTTAAGATTACTTGACTTGTCCAAAGTTGCTAAAATCTGCCAAGAACTAAAATTAGGAAAAGGATAAGCTTTTATTTGGTCAAGTAGTCTAATCACCCCCCTCTAGACATACTTTCGATCCTACAGCAAGGCCGACGATGACGATGCTGTCCACGTTGTTCCCTTCCTGAAGGCATCGCCGAGGAGAAGTTCAAGGCTACTCTCTGCTACCTCTGGGGGAAACCCTAGATCAGTAGATCGGATGACGGCGGCTCTCTGTTGTCGTTTCCCCCTTGGGGGCGTCATTCTTGGAGGTGCACACGGGCTCGAGGGACCAGAGGACAGCGTCTTTGGTGGCGTGGTGCTTCATCTTACACATCGTTGGTGGCGGATCTCAGCGGCGTGGCGCTGTGGAGATTCGGTGTCTGATGTGCGTAGATGGACTCACGCAGGAGGAGGAAGCTGTCTGGCGTCATGGTGGCGTTGATGCCAGAGAGGCCTGACAAGGTCGGTGCTTCAGTTCTGCTCTGAGGATGGACCGAGGGATGATGGAGGTGACGGCCCTTGCAGTGTGTGGTGCTCACTGGGAGTGTGCCAGATCGGTGTGGAACCCAATCCAGGTAGTGGCTTGGATGGGACACCCGGCTTTAGATGTTAGGCTTTGGTGCGATGTCTGTTTGGTATTAGGCCCGGACATTCGGCACGCCTTCATCAAGGGAGCAGGAGTAGCAACGGTGTTGCCAAGATGGTGGCTTTAGGCTTATTAATGTATCACCTTGTATGGTCTTTGTGAATAATTAATAATATGGCTGCATGCATCGTCCAGATACAGAGGCTGAGGGTACATCCTCCTTTTCTAAAAAATGGTTGTAGCACGCCGACGATGACACCGCTACACTCCCTAGCCTGCAGGGATGGAAAAAGGATACCGGATTCCTACTTGGTTGTGTAGTCTGTCTACAACAGGTGCTGAGTTGTAGAAACGCTTTTGAAATAGGGATGGAGTTGCAAGAACATTAAGTAGGTGAGGGTGACGCTTGACCCCCTTCGAAGGTACGTGTGTTTGCTTGGCGAGTGTCATCAAATTCTCTGGCTACAATGGAGAACAAAAAGAAGAGGACCCTAGAATTAACAGATATTTGTGCTCTTTGTGGGGTGGAACGAGAGGACACCTTTCATGCACTCTACATGTGTTCAAGAGCGTGAGCTCTCTGGAAAGCAATGGCGGAAGACTAGTGCCTCCCGGACGTGGATCTATTGCAGAACACTGGTCCAGAATGGCTCCTTCACCTACTGAACAAAGGAGCACGTCCGGCTTCCTATTCTCATGACAATGTGGAGGTGCTGGCACGTGAGAAACGAAATCACGCACCACAAGCTGGCTCCCCCAATTGAAGTATCCAAGAGATTTTTATCAAGCTACATCGACACTATCTTGTGCCTCCAGCAACATCCCAATGTCGGCATGTCAAAGGGCAAGATGGTAGTCTCCAAGTTTCAGCAACGCCAGGAGAAGCTCAGACCAGCAAGGGCAGCCTGTACCAGACCTCCAGAGCGATGGCA